ACACTAACACTGGGCCACACAGGTAGAACCAACTCATTTCTCATGATGACTCAAGCTCAGGACAAGCAGTTTGGACAACATGTTTAGGTTCTTTGATCAGCACTAGGGACATTAGTCTCATGATTTTGCCTCACAGATCTTTTATCTTAGATGCTGCCCCACAGGGGAGTGGTTTGTTGTAGGCCAAGGGAGCAATAACATGGAAGTGCTGCACACTATTAAACTCTAAAAGTACCAGCTGCATCTCCTAGAGTGTTGTGTGCAGTCCCTACATTTTTCTTATTGTGGTAAGTGCTTTGTGGGTACTGGACAATATCACCTCTTCATGGCACACATGATGCTGATCCAATGTAATCCAGTCTAAGGAATTTTCTTCAGTGTTTGGCTGGGATATCTTTATGGAAAATAAATATCTAGTCACTGGTTCTGGGAACACTAAGATCACTATGTATGAAATCTTATTCTGAAAATGCTATAGTTTAATTGAGTAAAACATTTCTAATTTACAGGACTAGGAATGTCATTACTTTAAAAGAAAAGAAAGAAAAACAAAACACTCAGAGTGACATGCTTCTACACATTGACATGAAACTTCCTAAAGAGGAGTCGAGCCCCAGTCTATCTGCAGTCACCCGTCTACCCACTATGAACAAATGGAGCACCACAGCCACAAAGACAGAGGACAGAGTGTGTGGTGGAAGAGGAGATGTGGTTCTAGTTCCCTGGGGGCATTTGTCACTTATGCTTACGTCTTACCCAAGTCTTACCTTCCTGCCCCTTGGGGTTCACCTTGTTGTGAATACTTTATAGTGCAGTGATGTCACCAGTGAATTAGTGCCCAGATTTTACATCCCCTAACATTACTTTTTGTACTTTTATTGGTGAAAATTTTGTGTAAATTTTAAGCATATTTGATTTATTACAGTAAAACCTTTAGAACAACAGGGAAAGAATTTGTCTGGCTAAGGGTATCCAGGTTGTGCACACTGTTACAACTGCTGTGAGTTCATATGCCCTGCTATGTGTAGAAAACATTGATCCAATGTAATCACCTGCTACCTTAAGCTCAAAAGAAACAAAATATAAGCATAGAGTGGGGAGATGGGTCTCAAGTCCCAAAAGTATCTGAAAAGTAATTGATAGCAGCTGGACAGCAGGAAAGGGAAAGTCAGTTTTCTTTAAAGGTGTGGTCCCTGGTGGTTAGATCATGGTACAGTGGAAGGTGCCACACCCAAGATTATATGGGCAGCTAAAACTGGCCTGAATGGGTTAACAGTGGGAGAGGACAAAAGTTAGGTGGGCAGGGAAGGGGGATGGAACTGTTAAAAGTTGAGAGAAGGGGTGAATATAATAAAAATATTTTTGAAAAATAATTATAGTATTTTAAGACTTCCTTAATAAATTGTGTAGAAAACAATATTTTCACTTATTATTTTGAATGCATTGTTCATCATAGCATTAAATATATTCACATTATTGTACAACCATCATCATGGTCTACCTCTAGAATTTTTTATCTCCCTAATTTGAAACTCTACCTCCAAGAAAGCACTAACTCAGTACTGTTCAAATAGCTTTTACAAATCAGCATAGAATGAAATGTGAATGGTCAAAGTCTTCCAAGAAATGTGTGTGTCTCTTTAGCAATGTCCTAAAGCACAAATTTTCCTATAGGAATTTCACTTTCATTCCAACTCTGAAAACATTTAGATATTTGGCTTCTACTCAGATGTTTGACAAAATAACTCAGAGAAGTGACTAGCGATAAAGAAAGACACTATTCATCACAGTCAAACTTTGACTTTAGTCTTGTGCACAGCTCAGACTTGTCCACCAGTGTATGAAAAGTTATATCACCACCATGGGCAGACCTCCAGTCCTGTATCATAAACCTTATAGATGGTGATTTCTGGCCTGAAATTTAGACTGCTATCTCTAGTATTACATAAAATAGATATGCAAAATTTTAGGAAATAATGGGTATTTACAAAAGCACAGCTATTATAAAGAAGACTAGCTACTAAACTTTAAATAACATATCATAGTACTTGCACATTTGGGATTGACATGGGAATTTTTCTTTAAATATTTGTTTCATTTTTATTGTGTGTGTATGTTCTGTTTATTTGTATGGTTCATGAGTGAAGATGCTTGCAAAGCCAGAAGAGGGACTCAAATTCCTGAAGTTATAGGCAGTTGTGGTCCACTTCAATTTTCAGTTGACTATGACTATTAATCAAGGTACTACTTTGGCCTTCAACCACTCTCTACAGGATGCAGTGACACACCCATCTCACTAGTGGTCCACTGATGTGAGATCTCAAAATGACTAGGGGAAGTCTCATCTCCCAATAAAGCAGATTCATAATTGGGTTTTCTGATAAAATATTAGAATCCCCAGACACCTGGCATAAAAGGAAAAGAAAAATTGGTATTGTAGGTTCTAAAGCCACTTAGTGAGATCATAATCTGAAATACCTATCTTTTGTTTTGCAATCCTGTACATTTTACTACCAGACAGTGGCATAGTCAGCTCCTAATTGAAAACATATCTCATATGTTATAGACTTATTATCATATTTTGTAGGACAAGATAATATAATATTTTTAGTATGTTGACTATTTGTTTCAAAATGAATCAATTGGTTAGAAATAAGTACACATAAAATAATGTGAGGATGAAAAGACAATATCAATGTTTGTAAAGTACTATAGCCAGTGAAGCCAGACCCAATGATAAAGTGTCTACATGTTGAGGATAAGTTACTATTCATTCTACTGTGGTTTTAATATGGCAACAGAACTTGGAAAATCATCTACATGGTACCAGATTTGAATGCATGCAACATAAAACTAGGAGAGGTATGGAAGCATGTATGAAAATCCCCAAAACTCACTGAGACCCTATATAGCTGGGCTGAAATTCCTCGTTGAAAGCCCCCATTGAACATTGTATGAAACAATGAAGGAAAACTTAAGTTTGAATGGAAACCTCAGGAAGTTGCAGATGCCAGGTCCAAGAGATATTTATTAATGAAAGTTGTAGACACAGAATAGGGCTGACCCCAGACAAATGCTGTATGTATTGCAGATGGCAAAGCTTGAGGAACAAGGTTACCTTTGGAGCACAGAATTATTCCAGGCATGGAACTGTAGTGATTGTTGTTTGCGCTGGTGGGTTTTAGTCTTACTTTTTGTCTAATATTTCTATTTTACTTGCTCTTCACTTTTGGGATTGAAATGTTTGCTCTGTGACATTGTGTATTGGAAGTATGTAGCTTGTGATTGGATTTTTGAGTGGTCCAGTTAAGAGATTAAACTTTGAGTCTCAGAAGAGACTTTCAACTTTTGAAAAACATTAAGATCATTACAGACTGTGATGAATACTTCATTTGCTTTGTGAGATGAATATGAAACTGTAAGGGCAAGGGTAGAATGTTGTGGATTGAATCCTAAACGTTCCTCTATTAGTTATGTTCTTTATTGTTGTCACATCTTGCTATATAAGAAAGCAACTTAATAAAGATTGGGTTTATGTCAGTTTAAAATTAAAAGAATGAATCCATTATGGCAAGAAAGTAATGTTGGCAGAAGCATGAGTCAGCTAGCTGGTCACTACCCAGAAACAGAGATGAAGGACAGTTTTCTGCTGACTTTCTCTTTTTTATATTTATTTAAGGACCTTACCCCATGGAATACTATTGCACACAGGTAAGCTGGGTATTCTTACCACAACTGCCCTGGTATAGAATCTCCCTTACATATCTGTCTCCTAGGTGTTGCTATATTCAGTCAAGCTGACCAGCAATATTTACAGTTAGTCTCCATAGGGTCACATGTCTGAATACTTCATTATCAAATAGTAGATTTATTTTGGAAAGTTGTGGAAACCTAAGGAGAGGAAACTTTGATGGGCTTGTCATCTGAGGACAGGCTTTTTGATCTGATAGCTTGGCCTCACTTCTATCTTCTCTCTGTTTCCTGATTGCTGACTCAATGTTGCTTTACACACTGGTCACCATGTCTTCCCAAATATGTTGTACTGTATCCCTTCTTAAATTGTAAGGCAACACAAAATGATCCTCACTTAAATTGAATCTTTTCAGGTATTTGGTAATGAGGAAAGTGACTAATAGATCTATGATAGATGATACCAGATAACCATGAGGCTCCTTAGTTGCAGGTGAAATTCCCCAACTGTCAGGAAATCCATGCTAGTGATCTCATGAGAGGCTATATCCTCTATGCCAAGTTGTCCTTACCCTGGCTGCCCTTCACTGTCCTTAACTTAGATTAAGATTTAGCACAATGGATATTTTAATTAAGTGTTGCTCCAACTCTGTACCCCTTTAAATCAGAACCAGGATTAAAACATTACCAATAGCTCTCATAATAATGAATATGAGGAATTTCCTCAGAGATGTGATAGAGACAGCCTATTTCTCCAAATGTCTTCTCAAATACTTATTCTAAGCTTTGATTTTGTTCTATATCTTTTTTCCTAGATTTTTAATTTAAATTAGAAACAATCTTATTTTACATATCAATTCAAGTTCCCTCACCCTCCCATCCTCCCAGGCCCCCAACAAGTCTCCATCCCATATCCTGCTCCCTAGGGAGGGTGAAGCCTTCCATAGGGGATCATCAAAGTCTGTCAGATCATCTGGGGCAGGATCTAGGCCCTCCCCGACGTGTCTAGGCTGAGACAGTATCCCTCTATGGGGAATGGGTTCCCAAAGTCCATTCTTATAGTAGGAATAAATACTGTTCCAATATCAGAGGCCCCATAGACTTCCCAGGCCTCTTAACTGATACCCAAGTTTTTATATCCATTTTCTAGGTCTGTTAGAAAGGATGAAGAATGCCACAATTTCATAAACATATTGCCTTATAGTGATCAATCTATTCATTCTTCTCTCCTCTGTATTTATATCACCTTCTACAAATTCTTATTAATGTTTTCTCTTTTTGTAATTTGCCTCCTTCTTTTTATAGGTGCAATGGAATGCACAGGACTTTGTTTCTACGGACACTGTATTGTCATGTTCCTTCTTCACATCACACCAAGCTCAGGTATAAGTCTGTCACTCACTCTTACAGCTTTAGCAATATTAAGTGTGCCAGGAGCAGTAAGGAGCAAGATTTTAAGACTGTTATTCCTAAGGTTCTAAGTAACTGTGTTACTTTTCTATTCCTGCCATAAAATGCCACTACTAAGGCAACCTAAAAAAAAAGAAAGCATTTTATTGGGCTGAGGGTTTCAGAGGGTTAGAGTTCATGATGGTGAACAAAGGCCTGATTGATGGCTATAACAGTTGGGAACTCATATGCTTCAAGCATAGTGCACATTGGGACTTAAAGAAATGTCCAGTAACACACTTCCTCCAACAGCCACACCTGCTAATTCTTCCCGCTCAGTTCCACCAATTTGGTGCCATTTTAATTCAGACACAGTAACCTCAGGGTTAGGAATGAGTCATTCTCTACCAGTAGTTGTTTTTAACTTAGATTTGTTTCAGGTTCTTGGGAGAAAATACAAGCAAAGAACATTAAAAACTTGTTCCTCATAACCCAGTATTCAAATTGAGCAAACATGATTCATATGCCACTTTTATACAGAGGATTTTATATTGGCACGTCAATGGGTGTAGTCATTGTTCACGTCCTGTTTATGTAGTTATGTTGTTGAGATTTCACGAGTGTAATTTTCTTATCTATTAGATACAACCTCACAGCAGATTTACTGGTCCCCTGGTTCTTATAATCTGTTTTCGTCTTTAAGCATATGTTCTCTGAGTCTTATTTATATGAGTTGCATTATAGAAATGGCTGAATTCCCCATAGTCAGTAGTTTTATGCATTTTGACCAGCCATGGATTTCTGTAATGGTCTCTGTTTTCTGCAATAAGAAGTTTCATCGATGTGGGGTAAGGGCTGCATTTACCTCTGTATTTAAGAATGAGTATTTAGAATGCAGTTAGAAATTGTGTTAGGAAGATGGAAACAGTAATAAAAAGCTTCTGTGCACCCAAGGCAAAAATCGAGTGAAAAGGAAGCCCATGGAGTAGTAGAGAATTTTGACCAACTATACATCTGTCATAGGATTATTACACATAGACATACATGCACGCACACACACACACACACACACACACACACACACACACACACACGGGTGTTTGTATCACCCAGAAAATAAAGATTCAAGAAAAACAACAAAATTAAAAACGATCTGAATAGAGAATTCCCCAAATAAAGAAACAAAATGTTCATCTTCCTTAGAGATGAAAGGAAAACTTTGAGATTTTATTTTCGCCACTCAGAATAACTAAGATCAAGAAAACAACTGACAACAAATGATGGCAAGGATATGGGTAAAAGGGAACTCTCTTTAACTGTTGGTGGGATTGCAATGTGGTACAGTCACCCTGTAAGTCAGCATGGAGAATTCTGAAAAAGAGAAAAATTTGCCTTATGACTCAGTTATATAACTTCTTGACATATACCTAAAGGACTTAACATTTTACTTAATAGACAAATTCTTCTCTGTTTTCAGAGCTAGGAAATGGAAACAACATAAATGTTATGTGTGGATAATGAAAATATAGCACATATGTACTATTTATTCAGTTGCAAAAATGAAATCATGAACTTTGAAGCAAAATTAATAGAACTTGGAAAAAAATTATATTGAGTGAAGCAAGACAGACACAAATAGCAAATGTCACATATGCTCTTTATCTGAGATTCCAAAGCCCAAGTCTTCAGATAGAGCTTAATTCCCCAAGAAAATAAAATTTTTAGCAATTCTCAAACCTTATAATTACTTTTAAAGATTAATTATATAAACACACTATTATCTTATTATATTGCCATTAAGATAAACAAAATTTTATTTATTTTTTATTTTACATTCCAAATTCAGTTTCCCCTCACTACATTCCCCATATTCACTCCCTCCACTTTTACTGTATTCCCCTCAATCGAGTCCTCCTCTGTTTCTGTTCAGAAAGGGGCAGGACTCCCATGAATATCAACAAAGTGTGGCATATCAAGTTGTAGTAGGACTAAGCACATTCGTTTTTACTGAGGCTGGGAAAGGCAACCCAGTATGAAGAACAGGCTCACAAAAGCCAGCCAAAGCAGGGCCTACCCCTGCTACCACAGCTACCACTGTTAGGAGTAACACAAGTAGACCATGCTACAAACCTGTCACATATATGTAAATATTCTAGCTTGGTTCCATGCAGGCTCTTTGATTGTCATTTCAGACACTGTGAGCTCCCATGAGCCTGGATAAGTTGTTTCTGTGGTTTTTTGGGGGGGAGGTGTTGTTGTTATGTCCTTGACCCCTCTGGGTCATAAAGTCCTTCCTTCTCTTCAGAAGGAATCTCTCAGATTGGCCTAATGCTTCACTGTGGGTCTCTGCATCTGTTTCCATAGCTACTGGCTGAAAGCTCTTTGATGCCAATTGGGGTAGTCACCAATCTATAAATATAGCAGAATAGTGTTAGGCATCATTTTGGAGACATCTTTTTTCTTCTACCTGCCGTAAGTGTGTCATATCCTGCAATAGCTTGTGACAATTGCTACTGTAATTAGTGGCTATTTATTGTGAAGAGTGTTGTTTGTCTGATTTCTATCTCAGCCTGTTTATCAGTTGTATATAATAGGGTTAAATATTTTTTGAGTTAATTTTATTTTCAGTCACTTTACTGAAGGTATTTATCAGCTGTAGGATAACTTATGTATACTATCATATCATCTGCAAATATGTATACTTTGACTCCTCCCTTTCCAATTTGTATACTCTTAATATCCTTTAGCTGTCTTATTGCTCTAGACAACACTTCAAGTACTATACTGAATAGGTAGGAAGAGAACGGACAGCTTTTCCTTGTCCCTGATTTTAGTGGAATTGCTTTGAGTTCCACTCCATTAAATTGATATTGGCTGTTGCATTGCTGTGTATGACTTTTATTATGTTTAGGTATGTTTCTTGTATCCCCATTCTCTCCAAGACTTTTGTCTTGAAGGAGTGTTGGATTTTGTCTAAGTTTTTTAGCATCTAATGAGATGATCAATGTTTTTTTTCCTTTCAGTTTGTTTATATGGTGGATTACAAGAACAGATTTTCATATGTTGAATCACCCTTCTCATCTCTAGGATGAGTCCTACTTGATCATGGTGAATGATCTTTTTGATGAGTTTTCTAAAATTCAGTTTGCAATTATTTTATTGAATATTTTTATATAAATGCTCATGAGGAATATTAGTCTGTAATTCTTTTTTGTCTTTGTGTGTTTTGTGTATCAGAGTGTTTGTGGCCTCGTGAAAATTTCCCAACTTAAAGAAGGTACCTATAAAGCTACAAAAAGCTTGTAGAGCACTGGATATACTGGACCAGAAGAAATGTTCACATAATAACCAAAATACTAAACATACAGAATAGAAAATGAATATTAAAAGATGCAATGAATTATATGTTACTTGTCTTATCCATAATTCTAGTGGAATTACTTTGAGTTTCTCTCTATTTAATTTGATATTGGCTTCTGGTTTGCCACAAGTCAAGTAATATATAAACATTTACCTATTAAAATTACACCTGACTTCTCAATGGCGACTGTAAAAGCTGGGAGGGGCTGGGCAGATGTTCTGTAACCTCTAAGACCATGGATGCTATACTATACTATTATACCCAACAAAACATAAACCACCATAGATGAAGAAAACAAGATACTTCATGACAAGGTTATATTTAAACAATATTCATCCACAAATTCATCTCTACTGAAGATACTAGAAGGAAAACTCCAATTTAAGGAAGTTATCTGTATCCATGATAACACAGGCAAAGAAAAATCTCATTCTAGCAAAATCCAAAGAGGGAACACACACACACACACACACACACACACACACACACACACACACACACACTACTACTACTACTACTACTACTACTACTACTACTACTACTACTGCTACTACTACTCCTACTACTACTAACAAAGACAACAATAACACCATAACAAAAGTTGACAGCATTCATTGACCGATAATATCTCTCAATATCTATGGACTTAGTTCACCAATAAAAAACACAGGCTAACAGAACAGATATAAAAATAGGATATATCTTTCCAATCAAAGGAACCTAATAAGAAAGCTTGTGTAGCTATCCTACTATCTAACAAAATAAACTTCAACCCAAAATTAATCACAAGAGATGGAGAAGGATATTTTGTACTCATCAAAGTAAAAACTCACCAGGAACATGTCTCAATTCTCAACATCTATGCCTCAAATACAAAGTCACCCACAGTTGTAATAAAACATTGCTAAAGCTTAATCACATATTGAACCACACACATTAATAGTGGGGAACTTTAAAGCCTGACTCTCATCAAAGGACAGGATATCCAGACAGTAATCAAGATAGAAATAAAAGAACTATTAGTTTTTATAGTTCAAATATATCTAACAGACATCTAGAGAACATTTCACACAAAAACAAAAGAATATAACTTCTTTCCAGCACCTCATGAAACCTTCTACAAAATCAAACATTTACTTGGTCACAGAGTTAATTCTCAAAAGAAAAGAATTGGAATAACCCCCTCTATAATATCAGATCACCATGGATTAAAGCTGGAGTTCAGCAACAACACAAACTACAGAAAGCCTACAAACCCATGGAAACTGAATACATCTCAACTAAACTAACACTGAGTCAAAGAAGAAATAAAGAAAGGCATCAGTGACTTTCTAGAATTCAATGAAAATGAATGTACAACATACCCAAACTTATGGGACCCAATAAAAGCAGTGCTCAGAGGAAAGTTCATTGCACTACATATCTTCATAGAGAAATCTCATTGGATAAATCTCATACTAGTGACTTAAGAGCTCTCCTAAAGTTCAATAAGGAAAAGAAGCAAATATACAAAAGAGGAGTAAATGGCAAGAAATAAACTGAGGGCTGAAATCAGCAAAACAGAAACAAAGAGAACAATACAAAGAATCACTGAAACAAAGAATTGGTTCTTTGAGAAAATCAACAAGATGGACAAACCCTTTTCCAATATAACTAAAGACAGAGAGAGAGTATATCCAAATTAACAAAATCAGAAATGAAAAGGGTTATAGCAATAGACACTGAGGAAATACAGAGAATCAAGTTATATTTCAAAAACCTGTACTCTTCAAAACTGGAAAAATCTAAAATAGTACAAATTTCTTGATAGATGCCATTTACTAAAATTAAATTAAAATCAGATAAACAATTTAAATATACCTGTAACCCCTAAGTAAATAGAAGCAGCCACTAAAATATTCAAACCAAAAGAAGTCCAGGGTAGATGGTTTCAGCACAGAATTCTACCAGACTTTCAAAAAAGAGTTAATACCAATACTCCTTAAATTATTCCACAAAATGAAACATAAAGAACATTACCATATTTTTTAATAAAATAAACATTTAAGACCTTATGAAAAACAATTTTATTATTTAAATACCAATTTATCAATTATATATTAGCAATTGGGACTGTTTAGCTTCAAAAGATAAACACTTAAGTTGATTTCAAAATATTGAGAAACTCACAAAAATAACAGAAGTGATTGAAATTTAAGCAAGTTTCTTATTGGGAAAATCATAATGTTAAGATAATTAACTCTGGTTTTTTTACTTACATTTAGTAAGTATGATAGAACAGAAATTAACAATATAAAATGTCTTCTATTCCTACAGTTTATTCCAGTTAAGGACTCAGTGTCAAAGTTGACAGTTTATGAATCTCTAACCTGAAAGAGAATCTGATGTAACCACCTTGTATCAAAAGGAAAAAACAACAAAGATACGTTTTAACTGGGTAATACTTACAAGGATAGCCTATGGTACTTTAGCATATCTTGCTGATGATTCTGAAGACAGATGAAAGAGTTATATACTAAGAGATTATAATGAATTAAGGAGGGAGATGAGTAAATATTCAATGAGTAATACTTATGTAGAAATGAAAATAGGTAAGAATTATGCATTCAAGAAGCTCTGTGTAACTTCACCAGAAAAGAAACATAAATTTATGCCACAGTTTATTATAAAGTCTATCAAATATTAAATCAGTTAAATTTTGGATTAAGGTATCTTTGGGATTAAGAAACTAGTAATAAAGGCATTTTTTTCTGTTGTGTGTTGAAGAGAAACAGGCAGAGGTGGAGAGGGATATGGAGACATAAGGCGAATTGGGAGAGAGACTGTTTTAAATAAAAGTTATGTGCTGTGACTACTACTTTAGGTTCTTGTTTTCCTTCCCAGAGAAATTCACGGTGACTGGCTTAGAGGGGCCAGTCTTGGCTCCACTGGGTGGAAACCTTGAACTCAGTTGTCAGTTACTCCCACCACAACACGCAGAGCACATGGAAATTCGCTGGTTCCGGGACCATTATACACAGCCTGTACACCTTTACAGGGATGGCAAAGACATATATGGAGAAACTATCTCCAAGTATGTGGAAAGGACTGAACTCCTGAAAGACGCCATTAGAGAAGGAAGAATGACCCTCAGGATCTTTAATGTGACTGTTGATGATGATGGGCCATACCACTGTGTCTTCAAAGACAGCAATTTTTATGAAGAGCACATCACAGAGGTCAAGGTCACAGGTAGGCATGGATCTTCCTGAAGTTTCTATGAATTCACATTCTCAACACATCAGAATTTGAAGTTTAGGGAAAATTTCAGTGTTTCTCGGTCTATTTACATTGTTTGATTACCAAGATTGGTTTTATAATTTTTTTACTTAGATCAAAAGTAATATGGCTGAATACACATCAAGTCTTAACAGTAAATTCTGTTTTAGGTTTACACAAATTGCTAGATTTGTAACGTATATACCAAGCAGTTTTAGGTTTGTTTTATTCTTTCATTAGTTTCTAAGAGTATTTTAATAAAATGTTATTTTCAACAGTGATTTAAACTTTAAAATAGTTTTCTTTGTAATAATTTTTATTCCCAGTTCTCATTAAATCTATCCACTGGCTACTTAGTGTGAGGCTAACATTCCTAATCATCAGTGTCTGCAAGCATAAAGCATTTAAAGTTGTCTTCTCACCTTGTAAACTTTTAAGAATGAAAAATATTGGTAGAAAAGTGAGGAATGAGGAAAATTGAAGTGATCTGCATTCTGAGCATGTGTGTTTTGAACTCTGAGATCATAGGTAGCTAATATTTGTGAACCTCATATTTTCTCTCAACCCAATGTTTAAGAGCTGACCTAAGGAATGTAATGGCACTAATTGAGTTTATATATTAAAGCCAGGTGTGCTGACACAGGTCTTTAATGCCTGTATTTGGGAGGCAGAGACAGGCAGATCTCCATGAATTCAAGGCCAGCCTGGTGTCCACAGAATTCTAGGCTAGTTATGTCTGTGTAAAGAATTGCAGTCCAGTCAGGATTCCACAGTGAGACCCTGTATGAAAAAGAAAGGGAGGAAAGAATAATGAAAGAATAAAGAGGTCAAATATATAGTATATATAATTATGTATTGTACATATATATTGATTTTAAGTTAAGGACCTAAATCAATCATTCTTTCCCAATATATCACATGATATATTTTAGGGGTTTAACCATCTTGTGTAGAAAGTAAGATTGTGTCAGATAGTAAATATGTAGAATAATTCTATCATATCAGAAAGTTTTTGTAGACAGATTTGTGGAGGGCAGTTAGGTTAAATCACAATTCTTCCTTCTCCACATTTTAGGCAGGTCTTATGTCTCAGATAATGTACTAGCACTTCCAAAGACATTAACTTGATTTAAATTAGTATGGACTGTATTTTGAAGACACTGATGTATTATTTATGTTGTATGAAATATTCTATATGTAAATATCAACCGGATGCATAGAATATGAATTGAAGTTGTAATTAAAGACTCAAAATTGCATTTATGATATTGTTGACTTCATCATTTGAAATTGGGCTCAACAGTGGTTAAGTTTTGACCATGGAAAAATATTTTAAGCCACAGATTCTATGAGGAAATAAATATTGATATTTGTTTATTACTGTATTTCAGTGTCCCAAGCCAGTCTGAAGTTAGTAAGAAGTAACATTTTTTAGTGAATCAGTAGATAAATTAAGTAATTACTTGTGTTTACATAAAAGGTACCTGGTCATACAGAACATGTTGCTGGTGGGGTACTGTGACTGTATGTAAGTTCTTTACTATTTTTAAGCTCATTCAATCAGATTCCTTGACTCTTCAGGTTTTAGTAATCAGTTAAAATGTGGGGGGAAATTGTATTATTTTTCTGTTCTATTTCCAATTTCATTCAATTAAAACTGCTGTTTAATTCTGGTGTTCCCCACCAGCTGTGAGCTTGCAGGTACAGATTCACGTGCATCCTCCCAATACCAAAGGTTTAATAGTGGAGTGTAACTCTGGAGGTTGGTTCCCACAGCCTCTCATGGAATGGAGGGACAGCAGAGGAGAGGTCATTCCAGCTGCATCAAAATCTCATTCTCAGGATGAAGGCAAACTATTCAATATAAAGATGATCCTTCTCATTAGAGAGAGTTCCTCCCAAAAAGTCATTTGCTGCCTTCAGAACCCCCTGACAGGCCAAGAGCACAGGACAAGTGTTGCCATATCAGGTAAAGTCTGAGTATTTTTTCTTCAATATTAGCTATTTCAGATAAGTTAAAGCTAAGCAGAATGATTCATTTTCCTAATTGACTTGGTTTCCAAAGCACTAGTTTATTTTAGTTTTTCCATCATATTATTTTATCTTGATTATTGTCTTTTCTACATTCTTTTATTTCAATTTGCCTACTATATAATGGAATTCTATGGGGGATATTTTATACACACACGACACACACACACAGTGAAATATGATCATATCTATCTCTTTTCAGCTACCCCCTTATCTTCCTTAACACAAGCATTTGTTTCCTGTGTAAGTTGTGTTCTCATAATAAACTCCACTTTATGTTACTGGGCCAAGCATTCTGATTTCTATGACCATACAAACATCTTCCAACTCCATATCCTTTTTGTAATTGATAACCCACTATGTCCTTTTAGTACTTACCCTATATGAATGACTGTGGGGGCATCCGCTGAACTATGTGAAACCTCTAAGTGGCTACATCCTAAGCAGATAATGAATTGCCTTCTCTCAGAAACTATCTACTATAAGTTGTTCCCCAGTTTGGGATGGGACCTTGAAGTCATTGACCCCATCTCTATTAGGAATTTGACTGACTTGATTTTATGAAGGTCTGGTACAGTGGCTATGCATTCGTTTGGGCAACATTCATACCATATCCAAAAAGAAATAATTTTTGAGTATTCTTCCTCATCCTCTGGCTCTTGGATTCCTTCTGCCCTTACTTCTCAAATGTTCCCTGAACCTTAATGATGGTGGGGCTAATATAGATGTTATGTTTAGGGGGTGAGTACCCAGTTTCTTATTCTCAGAATTTTGACCATTGGCTATTTTCTATTGTAAAGGAAGCTTCTCCGACCAAGGATGTGAAGAGTCTAGGTTTGTTCATGTAAACACAATTATTTAGAAGACACTCAGTCAACACAAACACTGAGAAAATAACAATAGCATATTATGCACTAGTGCTTATGAGTTTATGAGTCAGGAGCTTTTGACCAAGATTGCAATATTAGGGCTGAAATTCCCACCTGTGGAGCAGGTGTCAAACAAAATCAGAAAACAGTTACCCTATGATAGGTGTGTCACTATTGCTTCAGTATGTACATCTTACATAACACTTCAGTATTATAATATGCAGAGTTAAGCACAGGGCAGGACCATTGATGTCTTTTCCAGTTACCTTTGTAGAAGCTTCCAGTACTATACAAGCTGGTCAACATGGAGGAAGCTTGATTAATTCACTGCCTTCCAAATTATATATCATATATTCAGCTTCTCTAAACAAAATTCAATAAGTATTTCTTGACTTCTCTCTTTTTTTCCTTTAATTTTAAATAGCTTGTTTTACATGTCAATCCCAGTTCCCTCTCCCTCCCCTCCTCCCGCACTCCCCCCATCCCCCCCATCCTCCCACCCTATTGCCAATTCCTTCCACGTAGGGGATATCTAGAGTCTATCATTTCATTCAGGGTAGGGTCCCGGCACTTCGCTAAGAGTCCAGGCAGAGAGAGCAACCAATGTCTGTTAGTATTCGAGGGATAAACATTGATCCACTGCTCAGGACACCATAGGTAGCCCAGGCCTCCTCATTGACTCTCACATTCAGGGGGTCTGGATCGGTCCCATGCTGGCCTCCCAGCTGTCGGTCTGGGGTCCAAGAGCTCTCCCCTGTTCGATCAGCTGTCTCTGCTGGTTTTGCCAGCCCATTCTTTGCCAATTTGCTCTTTGCTCCTCTCTCTCTGTCGCTGGGTTCCTTGGGTTCTATTCAGTATTTAACTGTGGGTGTTTGCCTCTGCTTCCATCAGTCACTGGATGAAGGCTCCAGGATGGTTATAGACATCAAGTTCACTATCAGGAATAGGCATTCGAGGTGATCTCTACACTATTGCTTAGCTTGCCAATTAGTGTCATCCATTTAGATCACTAGAGGTCACAATGGTTCCTGATCTGTCTTCTAACCTGTGATTCCCTCTTCTCCCTATCCTAACCCCCCAGTCGACCTTCCTGTTCCTCAAAATCCAGCATCCCTTCATGATAAAATCCTAGAGAGATCAGGGATAACAGGAACATATCTGAAGATAATAAAAGCAATATACAGTAAACCAACAGCTAACATCAAACTAAATGGAGAGAAACTCAAAGCAATTTCTCTAAGATCAGGAACAAGATAAGGCTGTCCACTCTCTCCATATCTATTCAATATTGTACTTGAAGTCCTAGCTACAGCAATAACACAACAAAAGGAGATAGAAGGGATACAAATAGGAAAAGAAGTAAAACTTTCACTATTTGCAGATGATATGATAGTTTACACAAGTGACCAGAAAAACTCCACAAGGTAACTCCTAGAGCTGATAAACACATTCAGCAAAGTGGCAGGATACAAGATAAACTCAAAAAATTGGTGGCCCTAGTATATACAGACGATGAAGTGACTGAGAAAGAAATCAGAAAAACCTCACCCTTTACAATAGCCAGAAACAGCATCAAATATCTGGGGATAATGTTAACCAAGGAAGTGAAAAACCTGTATATCAAGAACTTTGAGTCTTTAAAGAAAGAAATCAAAGAGAATACCAGAAAATTGAAAGATTTCCCATGCTCTTGGATTGGTAGGATCAACATAATAAAAATGGCAATCTTGCCAAAAGCAGTCTACAGATTCAATGCAATCCCTATCAAAATTCCAGCACAATTCTTCACAGACCTGGAAAGAACATTAATCAACTTTATATGGAAAAACAAAAGGCCCAGGATAGCCAAAACATCCCTATACAATAAAGGAACTTCAGGAGGCATCACCATACCTGATTTCAAGCTCTATTATAGAGCTATAGTCCTGAAAACAGCTTGGTATTGGCACAAAAATAGGCAGGTAGGCCAATGGAACCGAATTGAAAACCCTGATTTTAACCCACACACCTATGAACACTTGATTTGTGACAAAGTAGCTAAACTATACAATGAAAAAAGAAAGCATCTTCAACAAATGGTGCTGGCATAACTGGGTACTGGTATGCAGAAGACTGCAGATAGATCCATAAGCCTTGTATAAAACTTAAGTCCAAATGGATCAAAGATCTCAACATAAATCCAGCCACACTGAAACTTTTAGAAGAGAAAGTAGGAGATACTCTTCAACGAGTTGGTACAGGAGACCACTTCCTGAACATAACACCAGTGGCACAGACACTGAGATCGACAATTAACAAATGGGACCTCATGAAACTAAAAAGATTCTGTAAGGCAAAGGACACAGTCAACAAGACAGAAAGGCAGTCCACAGAATGGGAAAAGATACTCACTGACCCCACATCTGACAGAGGGCTAATCTCCAAAATTTACAAAGAACTCAAGAAACAAGTCTCCGAAACACCAAAGGATCCAATCAAAAGGTGGGGTACAGAACTAAACAGAGAATTCTCAATAGAGGAGGCTAAAATGGCCAAGAGACACTTAAGAAAGCGCTCAACATCCTTAGCCATCAGGGAAATGCAAATCAAAACAACTCTGAGATACCATCTTACTCCTGTCAGAATGGCTAAAATCAAAAACACCGCAGACAATTTATGCTGGAGAGGATGTGGTGAGAGGGGAACACTCCTCCACTGCTGGTGGGAGTACCAACTCATACAGCCACTTTGGAAATCAGTATGGAGATTCCTCAGGAAAATGGGAATCAATCTACCACAAGACCCAGCAATTCCACTCTTAAGCATATATCCAAAGGAGGCAAATTCATACAACAAGGGCATCTGCTCCACTATGTTCATAGCAACATTTTTTGTAATAGCCAGAACCTGGAAGCAACCTAGATGCCCCTCAATTGAACAGTGGATACAGAAAATGTGGTACATTTACATAATGGAGTATTACTCAGCATAAAAAAAAATGGAATCTTGGAATTCGCAGGTAAATGGATAGCACTGGAAGAAACCATCCTGAGTGAGGTAACCCAGTCACAAAAAGACAAACATGGTATGTACTCACTCATATATGGATTTTAAACATGGATCAGGAAAGTGCCAGTCTGGGAAACAGGAAAGAACCTAAAAGGTATACATGGTACCCAAGAGAAGAGAAATGAGGCAAGATCCTCTGAACAGATGGGGAACACGACGAGGAGTGGGGCGGAAGGGGAACTGGGAAGAAGAGAGGGGGATAAATGGAAGAGAGAGTAGGATGTGGAGGGACTTCTTTCTTATGGAGGTAGACTTTTAAAATATATTTAGAGTCTCATTGTTACTGTAATCCCAAAGCATAAATTTGATTCTTGGATTTAATGATCTAGGTTCAGTCCTGTACTTCAAATGACAAATAGAATGAGATCTTGATGATGAGTGAACTTTCTTCGATCCAAGAGACTCACATGATAGAAAGAAAGAACCCATTCACACAGCAGTCCTCTGCTTTCATTATGTACATACATGAGCACACACACACACTCACAAATAAATTTATAAGATTAATAAAATTTAGAAAAAGATGATGGTAATATATAATATGGAAATTTAATTTTAGTCTAGTCAAACACAAATATGATTGCATCTCATTAGTAGTGTTAGTTGTCAGATTATATGCATCAGAATGAATAAATGAAAGACCTGAGGATTTTTTAAAAGAAGACAGCATGATAATGGTGCCAAGAAAGTTGTTGCTTGGTAAGGACTAGAGGGAAATCTCTTCATGGTGTATGGTATTTGTCAGACCTATGCTTCTAGAGTTCAAGATAGAGCAACTCATAAAAGAAAAGGGTAGAGAAAAAATGAAAGTCAAGTTAATGACTATATTCTTCATCATCATTTTTGACCACCATTTCCCCTGACATCTAGTTTTAAGACTCCATTATCCATGCCTAATTTTAGCAATAGGATCCACAAATTTTCCATTGCTACTTTTGCTCTTGATTATATATAATTAATAAATAGGAGAAAAGACTTATCAAAATAGTCATGAAATATTACTCTCTGTTCAAGTTACCCATATTTTTCCAGAATAAAATGTCTCAGGGTGTCCTGTGTTGTATTTGCCCATTACCCTATCTGATCTCATCTTCTATAAGCTTTATTTTTCCACACCAATCTACTCACATGAACTCTACTTCTTTTTATCTATAAAGACTAACTCCTGCTCTCAAATCTTCACTGGATGTCTTTTATTTCAGCACGTAATAAACTGTACTCACTATTTCTTTTAACTGTCTTCTGCTCAACTAGCACAGTCTTGAAGACTACATAGACAAGAAAACCTAAGCATATGATCTCTCCCCTCCACACACCTAGTATTCTGTTACTTCACCATTTCTTATTTTCTAAGAAGTATTTCCTTTAACCTACTTTATAACTTAATTACATTGTTGCCCCTTACCTACCTATGTCTCAAAGGCATAAAAGTAAAACTTTGTTGGTTGTATATACTGATATGTGTAAACTGCTTAAAATAAGTAATAACATATTAAACCTTCAAACAAAACCAATTGAAATATGTGAATTGAAATAAAACTTAAAGTGTACCTTCTAAACTGGTAAATAATCAAACATGTGTCAGTAGTTTACATGTATTCATGACACCAATATAAGATAGAGATGAAGAGAGGCATGATGAAAACTCAAGAGAATTATATAGGGATAACTCACCTAACACTTTAGACAATTTAGTTTCTTCAAAATATCTCTGCATTCATTTTTCACTCAAGTTCATTTTCTCATTTAATTAAATCTTCAATAATAAAGTAAAGCTTTGCACTATAGTTGTGTCAGAAACAGGAAGATAAATAATTCTAAGAAATAAACAATAATCTATCTTCATTCAATAATCTATCTTCATGCCAGAGTTCATAGCATACAATACTCTCTGACAACATACATATAGATGACATACTATGTGTATAGAAACACATATACATCACACACATATATAGCATATCTAAAATACATGCATATATAAAAACAAGAAAGAAAATGGGAGTTACTTGCTATTTATTTTATGATTTACAACTTGAGTAAATAATAAAAAGCATATTTTATGAATCACACCTTCCATATGAAGATATGCTTTTTAAAAACATGCTTGAAGGTTATAGATGTAGCACAGTTGATAGAGCATTTGCCTAGAATGCACGAACACTTCACTTGTATTACTCCAGTAATCCCAGTACTAGGGAGATAGAAACAGAATATTCAGGAGTTCAAGGTCATCCATATATGAATTCTGTACTGCACACTATATAGGAACTTAAATGAAGGACAGGAGGATGGAGTTAGGAATTACCTTATCATGATTCCTGGAAACGGTGCACTTCAGTCATAGGCAAAGGAAAGGAGGATTTAGCTTTGCCTCTTCCGTTTCACTAAAGAAGCTTCTGAGAGGGAGTGGAGGAAATAAATAGAAAAAGTACTCTCATTTAACTTTACATCAGACTTACACTATACCTGGCTTAGTTTTCTTTTAGACCTGCCATACGTTTCATTGGGCCCACAATAATTTTCTCCAAACTGTATTACATAGAATATGACAGTGATATAAGGTCTTAAATAGAAACTTACCTTGTGGACATCATCATTTGTTATGGGATGGGTCCAAACACTTGATATTTCCTACATTCTAAGATTTGTGACCATCTATTTCAGATGCATTTTTTTCATGGAATAAGAAATGGAAAATGATTTTGGTTATGATATTATGTGTGATGGTATTCTCTATAATGGTTTCCAGTCGTCAGATACATCTCAGAAATCAAAGTAAGTATGGTTTAAAGATGAGAGACGCAAAGTGGGAAGTGGGGAGATGCTAAAAATGAAGGAACATTGATTCCCAAGCCTTTCTGTTTAGAATTCTCTACTGCCCCTACTGCCCTGTATCATCAGTTAGATGTGTGTCCTTAGTTATTCCTTGTTCCAAGATGGTCTTATCTTTCTGCTGGATCTTTGGCAATGCCATTTATAAAACTTGGAGTCCTGGATCCTCAATCGTGTTGGAATTTCATTGCTCAGAGTAACCTGGAGAATGTTTTAAAATGTAATGCCATTCTCATGGGTTTGCCATTCTCTTCTTTGGGGATACAATGATCATGTCAGGGGTAACAGTAATGTCCTCAACTGTACATGGCAAAAATGACTAAACAGAGGTCACCTTTCACAACAAAGGGAGAATAGAATGGACAGAGAAAGAAGTGTTGCATGAATACTAAAAACCTAGAGAAAGATTTGGGGTTCAAGCTGAAGATCAGAAAAACTAAGCACTCAGTTAGTAGCTCTCACCTCTACCAAGTCTGAAATAGAAATCCTGTCTTTCCTGTGCCTGGAAACTAAATCTCAGATGTGACCCTTTGTTTCTTCCTTATGTATCCCTCTAGACTGGGATTAAAAGCATGAGCTCTGCTACTCCTTTAGACTGATTCACTCTCATGTAGCTCTGGGTGGCTTTGAACTCACAGAGATCTATCTGTGTCTGTCTCCTAAATCCTGGGATTAAAGGTGTGTGCCACCACTGCCAGCTTCTATGGCTAACTAGTGTGGTTGGCTTTGCATTCTGACCCCCAGGCAAGCTTTATTCAATCATAAACAATATATCACCACATGAGGGGTACTAATTTTGACATCTGGTGATTTACTTACAATAGAAGACAAAATTTTCATCCATTCTCACCTGTACTACACTCAGGAGAAGATCATGGATGGATTGCTATATTTATATCATAAAATATCTGCCTTGGATTTGAGGGTTCTCTCAATTTAAGAAGCCTCAAATACCTATCTGTTTTGAAAGAGTACAATTAGGCATCCTAGATCTACTTCTGTAAGTAGTTTAGCTATCAGGTAAGGGTTTCAGTCTTGGAGGTCTTAAAATTCTCTCTAGTCCATAAAATTCAATCTGACATTTAAAACTTGTATTCTAACCTGAGCTTGCTAGTGTACTCAATTAGCTTTCATTTTATGGCACTGCTTCTAAGGGATGTAGGGAGGTGTGCCTGAAAGACATGTGGCCAAGACTGACCACAAATTTATTATTCTTCAGGATGATCTTAAACTAGTTCTGTTTCTTTCCACCTTCCTAACACTAAAATAAAGTTACGTGCTGCAAATATGATTTTAATTAATACCAGGCATGGATCCCCCTGCTTTATTTATAGTAAGCACACAGTCTATTAACTGGACTATATCCCTAGTCTGTTTCTTTAAAAGTGTAAGTATATGGAAAGATATTTAGAATGTACTTAGACATTAGGTAGGTTTAGTTGGTAAAGTAAATGTTTTATGTTCTCCTAAAGTTTCACTAGTCCTGGATGGTTGACTAGAATTCCAGGACCAGAGATGATTCTCTCTTGTCAAACAGGTATTAAGTTATGTTAGAGAGTTGTTCATTACCACTAAGGCATGCATGCTAGTATTGCAGCCTAGGGGCTCTTATGGCATATACACATATATGTATGTAACAACAATTAAAAATATTCCATGTATCTTAAAGAGATCAGTGGGAGAGGGACATTGTGGGAAAGTTTGGAGGGAGACTAAGGAAGTGGAAAATTATGTAATTATATTATCTCAAAAACACCACACTTTTTTAAAAATGTAGAACTGATTTTTTGTGTCTCACAATTATTCAGCCACCAAGTATTAAATATAGTTTTCTGAATATCTCTCAAGAGATTTTCATTAAAATATTTCTAAATACAGCTATACTATAAAAATTTGCTCCTTTTATTCAACTGCTTCTTATTGAACCCCTAACATTTTACTAATTTTTGTATACAAGGTGTTATTTGAATTATTCCAAGGCGGTAGTATTAATATTACAATGAGATTATCGCATCACAGACTGATTGACAAGAGGGAGCAAAGTAAAGATGAGCTTTTTTTCTGACAGCTTGTCAATCTCAGCCAGAACTGCTCTATCCCTATAAAGTATTCTTCCCCTTCCTCATGTCACCATCAGATTATCAGATCTCTGATCTTCTATGCCATGCTGTGTTTAATAGACACAGAGAGATGACATTAGATTATAGCTAATGCTTTCTTGATATATTTTAAAAACTCATGGAACTTTTTACACCATAACCGGTGATTATAACTTTATTTCTTTAGGTAGGTGGTGTACATGGACTGCTCCTTGGGTGATAGGCATATTGATAATGATACTTTCAGTGTTGATCGTCATAGGAGTCCTGGTGTGGTTGCATATGAAACAAAGAGGTAAGTATCAGGTGTATGGAAGCTTCTGGTAAATATCCCTTTACTAAATACCTACTTAGACTTTTGTCTTAGGAAAAGTGATGCTTGTTTGGATTGCAAGAAATAGACTCTTGAACTATCTTATCTATTCTACATTTTTCTTTGCATTCTCCTCAATTTCTTAGGTGTAATGGAAACAAAAACAAGGTGAAGATAATAACATGTAGTAATTTTTATATTAATCTAGAGTTGTAGCCCCAAAGTCCAATGCAAAAGTCACAAACTTGAGTGAAGTTTCAGTAATTTTTTTCAATAATTTCTTTTGTGAGATTAGATCACAGCCTTAAATCAAACTATAGTTAGCATACAAACTTATCAGTATGGTTTTATTATATTAGTGATCCTTTAGAACAGTGCATATAGTTTTATAATCCATTTGTAAAAAGATGGACACTTCTTCCTTTAGTCATAATGAAGTGACTCTCTTTATTTCTTTTCATTAATTTGATTTATCATCTATTTGGTAAGACATTGGTATAGCAACACATATTTTCTTGTTTCTTACACTTATTATTTTTGGAATATGTTTTTCTATCCTTTCACTTTAGGGTGGTACACATTCTTGAAGGTAAGAAGAGTGTCTTTTAGATAAGAAAAAGATGGGTTTTGTTTCTTACCAACTTAACTAACCTGTTTCTTTTGACTGGCAATTTGAGGATATTGATATCTGAAATTATTAATGAACTCGATTGCTGTCATCGGGGGATTTACTGTTTGTGATTTTAATATGCTTTGTGGTTCAGTAATTAAAACTTTGTCTATCCTTATTCTTTTCCTCTTTCTGAAGTATTGCTTCAAGTACTTTATTAAAAGTTCATTTGTAGGGCATGAATTTTTTAACCTGTTTATATCATAAACACTTTATCTTTTTCCTTCAATTATGGCAAATCATTCATCTGGATATAATATTCCAGATAGAATACATCTGTATTCACTTGTAACTTGGTATTAATTTTCAAGACTCTTCTAGATTTCAAAGTTTTCTTTGAGAAATCAGTTGTTATTCTGGTAGGTTTTCCATTGTATATGGCTTGTAATTTTTCTCTTTTACCTTTCAGTACTCTCTTTTTATTCATATATTTAGTGTGTTAACTGTAATATGTCATGGAGAGTTTCTTCTCTGGTCATGTCTATTTAGTGTTATGTGTGTTTCTTGTAACTGCATGTTTTGTCTTTTCTTAATTTGGGGAACTTTTCTTTTGGTGATATATTATTTATGATTCATTATAACTGGCCTGAGGATTCAGAAAGCAAAGTCAGTCAGAAGCCATAGAAGCCAGGCACACACCTTTAATCCCAGCAGCCAGAAGCTAGGAGGTGGGAGTGCACCTTTAAACCTAGGACTCAGGATTAAGGGGTAGACTGATCTCTCTGAGTTCAAGGCCACCCAGGGATACACGAGATTGAATCAGTTCAAAAGAGTAACCAAACACATGCCTTTAATCCCAGGATTAGAGGGGTATAAAAGATAGAAGCAGTGTCTTCAGTATTCAGTAGGAGACATTCATTCTCCAGTCACACTGATGTAGGAGGCATTCATTCTCCTGCCATGCTGGGGAAAGTTTATAGTCTGAGACTTGGTGAGAGCTCAACCCACTCAACTACTAGAGGTAGATGTTAGTGATCAGCTGCTTTGCTTTTCTGATATTCAACCTGAAGTTTGAACCCCAGTATCAGTCTCTGGGTTCTTTTATTTTTCGTGTTACATTTATTTTCTGATCCAGATGAAGATATGGTCTATGACTGTCACTTGGGATCCTTTTCTTATGCTTGTAGTTTGTAGATTTGATCATTTATAGTGTCCTGATATTCCTGTACTTCCTTTCCTCTGTTTTTAAAAAGTTATCATTGTTGTGTTAGTTAGGGTTTCTGTTGCTGTGAAGCGACACCATAACTGTGGACACCATAACTGTGGTAACTCTTATAAAAAATCATTTAATTGGGATGACTTACATTTTCAGAGATTTAGTCCATTATGTCCATGGTGCAACATGATAGTGTGCAGACAGACACAGTTCTGGAGAAGCAGCCAAGTGTCCTACATCTTATCTCATAGGCATCAGGAAGTGGGCTGAGACACTGGGAAGTATATTGAACAAATATGAGACCTCAAAACCTGCCTCCACAGTGACACACTTCCTCCAAAAAAGGCTGTATCTACTTCAACAGCACCACACCTAAGATTGTCACTCTCTTTGGGGATGTTTTCATTTAAACCACCACAGTTGTCTTTTACTGACTGGTCCAATTCTTCTGCTTTACCTTCAAATCCTGACCTTGTGACTTCTATTTAATTCAGTCTTTTTGTAAGCCTTTCCCTTGAATTTTTCCTCAGGATTTCTATTTCTTTATGGAACTTGGCCTTCAAACTTCTGTTGTCTTCATAATATTTATTCAGTCATTTGCATTTTCTTGCCCTTCATTTGAGAGTTTGTTTGCGTTCTGTAATAAGTTCATTCAGTCATTTGCCTGTATTCTCTTTGAAGTTATTGAAGTCTTTGATCATATTTATGATTATTATTTAAAATTCAGGTTCTTAGTTTCATGTAGGTGATTCTCATTTGGAGGGTTTAGGACTTGTCTATAGAACTCTATAGAATTGGTAGACTTTATCAAGAGGAAATATTGTCTTGACCTTTCATATAGTTTGTTTTTGTGATGGGACATAGACACAAGGATTTGTTTTATTTGCTGTGTATCTCATTTAAGATCTTAGCTTACCTATGTTCCTATGAATGAAAATTTGGTTCTGCTTTTATTTTTGTCAAGTCTTAGATGACTTCAGGTCATGTAGCAGGAGTAGTTAGGTCAGCCTTACATAGGGTTGATTATTGATTAGAGAGATTGGTGTGACTGTGATCCACTTGTAAATCCATATGATGTGTTTCTTGTAAATCATGTGAGACTGTCTAGTTTTATTGCAAGAATGTATCTTGATATGGTTCCCAGATAGGCTTGGGCATGGAAAGTCAGGTAGAAGAAAATAAGGATATAAATATGAAGTTCTAGTGTGTAGGACTTCTGAGAGTTGTGAAAACTTTTCTATTTCAGAGTCTGCTCATATAATAGTGTTTGTCTTATTTTGATTTCTGTTGCTGTCTAAAACACCACAAAAACAGCCAGTGGAAGGAATGTGTTTAACTTGTCTTGTAACTCTCATGTCACTATCCATCACTGATAAAAGCTAGGTCAGGAACTCAAGGCAGGAACCTGAAAGCAATAACTGAAGCAGAAACCATGGAAGAATGTTGCTTCCAGGATCAGTTCCTGAGTGTTGCTTAGCCTGCTTTCTTGTGCCACCCAGTCCATCATTTCAAGGGTGGCACTGCTCCCAGTGGACTATAATCTCTCATAGAAATCATTAATAAGAAAGGGCCTCACAGAATTGCCTACAGGTCAGTCTAATGGACACATTTTTCTCAATTTAGGTCCATTCTTCCCCAATGAATTTTTTCTTCTGTGAAATTTACAAAGCTTAACAGCACAGTACCCACTACATTGTATATGCTACAAGCCACAGAAATCTGAGCATATTCTGCTGGAGAAAGCACAAAAAGGCTCCAAATTCTGGAAAACCAAAGCTACCACATCTACATCTAGGTTTAGCCTGAAGAGCCCATCTTCAGCACCAACCTCTTATACTATAACCTTCTCTCCCACATGCTTAACATCAGAAGGCACAGAGCAGTAGAACCTGAGAAGCTTGTCTATCCTGAGTCTGTAGTCCAGCTTTATTATCTCTGTTGCAGCCATTCTAAATTTTGCAACTCTTCCCAGTTCCCGTTTCAGATGCACATTTTGAATTGGATACTTTGTGGTTGGAAGATAGAAGTGTCATCCTGTGTGCACTGATGGTTTCTGCCACAATGCTTACTTCCTATATATACTTCAAACTGAAAGGTAAATAAGACAAGAAGTGCATCAACTCATAGAATGTGCTTCTGCATAAAGTCAGATTATAAAAAACTGAAATTCCTAATAACTGTATCTTCTTTTTTGTTTTTGTTTGTTTGCATTTTCTTGGAATGCAGAAAGCATTTTTGATCTATAAACACTTTCAGGTTACAGCCTTCTCATGTCTTCTGGGGAATATAGTTATACTATTGAATGGTGGTACCTCAAATGCTAAGGACAGCCTCAGATCTGATTGCACACTTGTGATAAATGTATCAGGGAATGGTGGAAAAACTACTATGTTTCATCAATTCTCTGAAACCTTGCATTTCATCTCAAATTTTAAAATAATAACATAATGCCATAAATTCATCTATGAGACACATGCAAGTTTTCACAAGGAATGGGTGAAGAAAATTCTCAGGCTCACATTCATATCTTGGAAATATTTCACGACTTATGCCCAAAGCTAAATGCCCTGCTTTTATTGTGCAACTTATTGTCTTTATGCAAACAGAAGAAACTATCAAAAAGTAATCAAGAATAGTAATTTTCAACACCTGCACCCTAAAGCATTACATTAAAAATGTGTACATTATTAATTAAATTGTAATTTTTATTGCCAGTGAGATTCCCCTCAAATACAACAAAAAGCTATAGTGAATTTTAATGATCCAGAAAAATTATTAAACAAAACAGACCTATAGGTTAAATTCCCCAAAATTATTTTCTATATTTTCATATTTGTATCTCTTGACTTAGTTTCTATAGGAGTTTTGTTGACATTGTTCTTGAGGATTTGGGCAAGGCATAATTGGGTTATTTGCCAAGCCCCAGCAGTACTTATCAAGTCTCAGCAGTTGGGATGTACCAATGCAAGAGACAATGTGAGCCATTATAATGCAAATTAGCATTCCTCTACCCAGATTCTGCTAGGAAAATAACTCCTTCATTATGTTGCATTAAGAAGAATGGGTTAGTAATAAAGAGAAACTGTTAAGAAATGTATAGCTAATATTGTTCTAGCTCAAATCACATTTACCTATTGACTCAATGGAATACAACAGAGGAGAATCAATGAGGACTTGAGCTGTTCACACAATGCAGGGGACCACAGGAACAAAGACAAATCCTCTTCTCAGCTACCTGTGACAACAGTGCTATTAACATTGCTTCTTTGTATCCATTGAGAACAATGATACAGTTGATTTATCCATTTAGATATTTCATCAATTGATCTTTGTTTATCTAGAATTCTGTGAAAACTGAGTTAATGCAATATATTCGTTGATTTCAACTAGAGATTACACAATGCAGTGAACTTAGAACATATTCTACAAATTGCTTTTAGTCTATTATAATGTATCTCAAATAGTTAATACATAATTATATTAAAAACTGTTAATGAAGAGACAAGCAAACTTTGAAATTGATCAAAATTCACTGCTGATTCAAATGCCTTCAATTAGCTTTAAATTTTTGAGCAAATGTCATCCAGGAACAATAACCAGATCAACTATAAAAAATACAATGTCTCCAAATATGTGTATGTGCTGTATAATTTTTATACTCTTGAGGCATGGCAATTCTACATATTCCAGGCTAATATAGGACCTACTGTCTAATCCAAACTGCCTTGTCACTGCAATCCTCCTGCAACAGCCTTTCATGTCCTGAAACTACAGGTCCATGACACCCAGTTCTAGTGTTATTAATTTTTTTCTCAGTTTTACAAGGTTTGTATTGGAGTATTGGGATAAACTCCAGGGTTTTGTAAGTAACCAAAGTCTCTGTACTCTTTTACTGAAACAGTTTGGTTCTCCTCCTATGCTGAAAGGTTGATAATTGTAATTCTATAATTCTCACATTTGGAAGTTACAACACAAGAGGATATATAAGGCTATGTAGGGAGTTTTACAAAATATTTTAAAGCATACATATCCTCTGTAATTTATGGTGTCTTTCATATAATCACCTATTTTATTTTGTACTGTCATTTTCTTAGTAAAATATAGTCCAGGGAAATTCATTGCTACCTTAATCCTGAGAATTCAGAGAGAGGCAGACACAGCAAGTACCTATGGCTCCTTTTCTCAATGAACTATTTACAAGGGGCACTCATAGGGGATGTATGTATCTCCCTGGGAAGGTAAAATAAAATAGATTTTGCCTGGTGGGGACAGGAACAGGAAGGACAGGGTATGGAGGGAGAGATAGATGGAATTTTGGGGCATTTGTGTAGTAATAAGGAAACTTAGTGCAATGGCAACCCCATGGAATCGATGAGGGTCAACATAGTGAAGACTACTAGTAATGGGGGATATCAGGCAGGCAAAGATTCTATTGGTAAGACTGGGACATCAGCCAGATACAAAAATCTTCATCTAATTATCTGTCCTGTCTTCAAGATATGCTGGGGCAAAGGTAGTGCCGATCTTGTTTAAGTGGCCAGTTAATGAAGAGGGAGCACACATATGATACTGCCTGGAGAGTTAAGAACCAGAGACTGGATAGCCCAGAGACCTAGAATAGAGCCAAAGACAACTGACAAAAGTAAAAGAAAAAAAGTAAAAGTCGATGAAATGATTCTTAATGATATTTTGCTATACTCATAGCTCGTCTCCAAAAAGAAAATCATCTCAGTGAGGTGTCATCCAGCAACTGATGGGAGCAGACGTAGAGGCTCACTGCTAAACAATATGAAGACTTCAGAGAACCACACAGAAGAGAGGGAGGAAGGATTTTAGGAGCCAGAGGGTTCAAGGACACCATGAGGACATGGCTCACAGAATCAACTAAGAAGGACTCATAGGAGCTCACTGAGATTTGAAGTAACAATCATGAAGGAGCCTGCAGTGATGTGATCTCAGTGCTCTGCATGTGTGTTATTTTTGTATAGCTTGGTGTTCTTGTGGGACGTCTAACAGTGGGATTGGGCTTTGTCTCTGACTCTTTTGCCTGCTCTTGGGACACTTTTATTCCTACTAGATTGCCTTGTCCAACCTTCATATGAGGGTTTGTGTATAGTCTTATTGCATCTTGTTATGATATGTTCCATTGATATCCCTGGGAGGCCTGCTCTTTTCTGAAGGGAAGGAAGAGGAATGGATCTACTGGAGAAGGGAGGTGGCAGGGGACTAATAGGAGTGGAGGGATAGTAAACTAAAGTCAAGTTGTAATATATGAAAGAAGGAAAGGCAAATAAACAAAAATAAATAAGAGAAATATTCAAATGCAGTCAAGCTCTTTTCTAAGATGCCCATTTTACTTGCAGATTCCTCCATAGAGGTATTTTTTCTGTCATTGATTTAAACCAGGAAATTCAAGTTAATGAACAAATCAACGTTGTTACTTTTGCCTTTGTAAAATATCTCTGGCATCTTAAAGGACATCAGTAAGTTATCACATGTGATCTCAACTGTCCTTACTTTTAGTAAGATATTATTGCTTTGATAAGTTACCTACAAAAGTTAAGGGACTAAAATAGGATCAGATTTCTCACCACAACTGTGGTTACAGAAAGTACAGAAAAACATTAGCTTAGATCCTAGAGAAAAATATGGATCTACAATTTATACATTTTCAGATGTTTGTAGATGGAGAAGAAGAAACAGTTGCCATTCAAATTTGCATTCCACTCTGTTAGTTCTTGTGGAGATCATTTTAACTCAAATACAAAGGTGGAAATATGGTCAGAATAAGAGTAATAGGAACAGTGAAAACGAAAGCAATAATTCACATAACAAACAGACGCAATTGCCTAAAAATAGAAAGAATTTAATGTAATTAATGAAGTAATGTATTTATGTCCAATAAAATGTGATAAATGAACATGTAATAAAAAAACTATTTCCAAGAAAAAAGAGAAAGATAAATTCAGAATGTATTGAGACAAGATCTTTGAGAAGAGTGAAATGGAATAGAGATCACTTAAGACAGGGAAAAAGTTTTTGAACAAGTTTGCAAAGCAGTCCAATGATAGAGTAAATGAATTATCTCTGCTTCTTCAACACAGGAGAAGGTAGCTACCTGTTAAACAAGCTGTACTGTATGTGAAAGGAGAAATAACAAGAAAGACAATAGTGCGTATCTTCTGGCTGGTCCTCTATAGCATTCCACTAGGCAAAAACACCATGCACAACAGAGTTAGTGCAAGAGGCTTACTGGGGGAGGAGGAGAGCAAAAAAGTGAAAGGCCATGTCAGAGTGCGGTCATGAGAGCAGCAGACAAAGAAGACAAGCAAGAGAGGAAAGAAGAGGCAAGGGAGGAGAGAAGAGACAAAGAGGAGAAAGACACAAGAGAGGTGAGAGACAAGAGAGCGAGCTGTGCCAGGCGGGCACTTTTAAAGGGGGCATAGTGGCATAGCTGATGGTGGAAAGGCCCCGCGTCAGGTGATGATGTACCTGCTTTGGCCGCAGAGACTGCCTGCTGCTGCAGCGGAAGCTTGCATATGTGATCGTGTGTGCATGTGTTGTGTGTGTACCACATGTTTTAGACATGTCAAAAGTGTCTTCCTCAGCCCTTCTCTACCTTATATTTTCAAACAGGGTCTTTTAGACAGTTTTCCTATCCCAATAGCATATTCCCAAATTGCCACTTAGTATTTATTGAAAATTCTTGGTCAATAGCTCAGACTTTTTACTAAATAGCTTTTACAACTTATATTAACCCATTTCTATTAATCTAGGAGCTGTCCCAGGGCTCAAGGCATTTACCTCTCCAGCATGTCTTACATACTTTCCCTCTGGCTGGTGATCTCTCTCTGACCCTGCCCTCCTTCTTTCTGTCTTCCTGTGTCTGGCTGTCCCACCCATACTCACTGCCAAGCTCCCAGTCAGCTTTTTATTAAACCTACCTTAGTGACAAAGCTTCACTGTATACAAAAGGATTATTCCACAGCGGGGTTGTTCTTTGAAAGTAGAATTTTCTGATTTAGCCAGAATGGCTGCCCAGAAAACCACAAGTATCTGTCTGTCTCTACCTCTCCCATACCAGGATTACAGGCTTGTGCTACTGGACCTGGACTACACATACACAGGCACACACGCACATGTGCTCGCACGCACACACACACACACATACACACACACACATAAATTCAGATAACCACGCCCTCACAGTAAGCTCTTTATATGCTGCTGTAATACGGAAATCCTTCTGTTATATTTTGAAATGCCTACAGAAGAGTCCAAACTCCTCAGCACATAAAACTATTGCTGACTGAAAATGTATAAATCTGATTACCCTGGCATACAGACACTAAATTACTAAAAGGTACCTCATAAATGTGTACATTTTTATAAGAAATGAAAAATTATTCTCAAATCTATAATGCTCAGAGGAGACATAAACATAGTAGAAGAAATTAAACACAAGGTTTCAAAGATAAAAGCTACGCAATGTGGTTTCTTGAGACTGTCCACACTGAAATTGTAACTACCATATGCACTGGGTTACAGCAGTCCATCCCACACGCATGAAGCATTCTACATCTTGCTACAACTATTTGCGCATGCATGCTTATTGTTGCTCTTTTAGAAACAGCATGGTGATGAAGTCAGTCTAGATTTCCACCAACACAGCAGTGGATGATGAATTTGTGATCCATATGCACACAACAATTTTATTCATCCATAAATAAAAATGAAACAGAAATCTGTAGTAAAATAGTATATTAAGTGAAATATCCCAAGCTCAGAAAGACAAATGCTTTGTTTTCTCTTATTCACACCCTGGCCTCTGGATACATGTGAACAGAGGGCAGGAACTAGAAAGGCAAACATGAGAAAAGGAGAAAAAGGACCCGTTAAGCGAGGCATTGGGTAATGGAGCATATACATTTGATATGAAAATGAGATAGAAGGGGAGATATTGAGAAGGCTATAATGGGGATGGTGGGAGGAAGGGGAGATTAAAACCAGGCATGGGAGTATCAACCAAAACCAAGCATGCATGAAAATTTTACAATAAAACTGTTAATTTGTAGGCTTATTAAAATATAAAATAATGAAACTATGCAAGCCTCCAAAAGGTGTATGTAAAATAGAATAATGAAGTTATATTTGAGAATTTAAAACTAATATTTAAAGCTATAAAATTCATTGGTATTTTAAAATGTGCTTTGAACAATATAAAAGACCCAATAATATATTGACTGACCATTCTGTAATAATTTATGTAATATTTTTCTTTTCTATATCAGTTCCCATCTGACATATTTAATGAATAGAAAGAAATCATGGTACTATACTAGCTTTTAAATATTTTTATTAGACATTTCAAATATATAATCTACATATAAATAAAAATGGAAATCATTTGAAAATGTATTAGTGTGTCTAAGATGAAAGAAATACCAATTTCTCCTCTATTTCTGAGTATTCTGTGTTATTGTTCTTATAATTTTCCTTCACTGTCTGGTGCAGTAACAATAGTTGGTACATGCAGTTTCTGAAGCTGTTATGTAGACATATCCACTTTAAATACTTTCGAAGAATTTACTTTCATTTTAAAATCATTTAAAGTGTTTTAGTTTTTATTTATTATAAGCAATGAAAAAATAAAGGAGGACAAGGAGTATATGTTGCTAGCCTTTCACCTGCCAGGACTTAGAAGTGAAGCATCTAGAGCCATGACCACCAGCAGGTGACAAAGTGAGATCACCAGGTCAGATGTTCCCTGAAATGTCAAACATTCAGCATGGAATGACTCCACTTTTCTCTTGATCCTGAAGTGTATCTTTCTGTGCTCAGGGTTGAACTCATATGTAACAGGCCATGGGAATATAAAAGTCATTTTGAACTGAAGGAAATTGAGAGGTTGAAATTCTCTATCAAAAAGCAGTGTCTTCCCAAATAAGTCAACATTGAATTATCAAGACTCCTAAGCTTATAGTGGAGAGACCATCTCGAATGCCCATTCCTGATAATGAACTTGATGTTTATAACCATCCGGGAGCCTTCATCCAGCGACTGGTGGAAGCAGAGGCAAACACCCACAGTTAAACACTGAACTGAACCCAAGGAACCCAGTGACAGAGAGAGAGGAACGATGAGCAAATTGGCAAAGAATGGGCTGGCAAAACCAGCAGACACAAGCTGATCTGAACAGGGGAGAGCTCTTGGACCCCAGACTGACAGTGGGGAGGCCAGCATGGGATTGATCCAGACCCCTGAATGTGAGTGTCAGTGAGGAGGCCTGGGCAGCCTAGTGGATCAGTGTTTATCCCTGGAATACAAACAGACATCGTGTGCCCATAGCACAAAGAGGGATGCTCTCTCAGCCTGGACTCTTAGGGGAGTGCCTGGACCCTACCCTGAGTGAAATGACAGACTCTAGATATCCCCTATGTGGAAAGAATTGGCAATAGGGTGGGAGGCTGGGGAGGGAGATGGGGAGGTGTGGGAGGAGGGGAGGGAGAGGGAACTGGGATTGACATGTAAAACAAGCTATTTAAAATTAAAATTAGAAAAATTAAAAAAGGACTCCTCTTTGCGTGAAAAGGCCTTGGGTGGCAAGCAGAGGTCCCAGAGTGTCCGGAGCTTGATGCATAAACACACAGATGCTCATGGAATCATCCTTCTCTATTCATCTCCTTAGTCCATTTATTTCTCAAAACATAATTTCCCTCTTATCAAAAGTAGGTTTAACCCACAGAAACAGTTGACCTCAATAAGGGGGAGCTCTTGGACTTATGTATTCTTTTTTTTAATATCATTTTTTATTTTAATTTTAAATAGATTGTTTTACATGTCAGTCCCAGTTCCCTCTCCCTCCCCTCCTCCCGCACTCCCCTTTCCCCCCACTCTCCCACCCTATTGCCAAATCCTTCCACATAGGGGATATCTAGAGTCTGTCATTTTACTCTGGGTAGAGTCCAGGCACTCCCCTAAGAGTCCAGGATGAGAGAGCATCCCTCTTTGTGCTATAGGCACACGAAGACGGTTTGTATACCAGGGATAGACACTGATCCACAGCTCAGGGCCCCATAGGTTGCCCAGGCCTTCTCGCTGACACTCACATTTGGGGGGTCCAGATCAGTCCCATGCTGGCCTCCCCACTGTCGGTCTGGGGTCCAAGAGCTCTCCCCTGTTCAGATCAGCTGTCTCTGCTGGTTTTGCCAGCCCATTCTTTGCCAATTTGCTCATCACTCCTCTCTCTCTGTCACTGGGTTCCTTGGGTTCAGTTCAGTGTTTAACT